AGATTCTCCTGCCTCAGACTCCCGAGTAGCTGGGATTGCAGGCGCCCACCACCACAGCAGCTAATTTTTGTATTTTCAGTAGAGATGGGGTTTCACCATGTTGGCCAGGCTGGTCTTGAACTCCTGACCTCAGGTGATCTACCCGCCTCAGCTCCCAAAGTGCTGGGATTACAGGTGTGAGCCACTGCACCCGGCCCTACTTCATAGAGGTTGAAATGCCTTTTCGCCCTTCTCCTTAAGACTCTGAAGAGGCCTCAGGAACTGGGCATTGGTGTTGCACATGAGGCCCTGCAGTGGCACGCCTGCTGGGAGGACAGGAGGAAGGGCACTGGCTGTGTTGCCGGCAGCTCCACTCCCCACGTGTGCGTGTTTAGGAACCGCAGCAACATGGACTCTCTGTGGATACCGCCCCCACCCAGGTTGCAGTTTGGGTTCCAAAAGTCCAGTTGCCAGTGGATTTTGGGGGAATTTGGAATAAGAAGGAGCCTAGCCTTTGGAGTTGTTCATTCACTTGCAGAATTTCTACTCATGCCAGCTGCTCTGGACAGGAAGATGAATCGGTCACGGTTCCTGCTTTTCAAAGCTCTCTAAGTGAAGTGACTCGTTTAAGGTCATAGAACCCGTAAGTGAGGCAGCTGGGACTAGATCCCAGGTCTCCTGCCTCACTGCAGCACAGAGCCTGTCAGCAATCTCCAAACCAGCCCAGCCCACCAATGGAGGGAAGAACAGAAGCATTCACACACGCTGCTGAGACAGCCATTCATTCATTCATTCATTCATTCATTCGTCCGTCCGTCCGTCCGTCCGTTCATTCATTCATTCATTCATTCATTCATTCGTTCGTCCGTCCGTCCGTTCGTTCGTTCGTTCATTCATTCATTCATTCATTCATTCATTCATTAAACAGCCGTTTAGGAAACGCCTGCCTTAAGTTCCTGACATTGTTCTAGGACACAGCACTGGATGCACACAGTGAAGAATGAAACAGACGTGGCCCAGTCTCTTGGCACTAAAATCTTAGTGCAGACAGACATCAAATAATTACAGAAATGTTCCCAGCTGCACATGTGGTAAATGCAGGGTGGGAAAGTTCAGGGTGCTGAGAGCTGCATTTTGAATGGCCAGAGAGTACGGGAACTGCATCTGACTGACAAGTCAGGAAGGCCCCTGTGAGGAACGGCTCTGGGGGGAGCTGAGGCCTGAGGCTGAGGACAGCTGGGTGGGAAAGTGCCAGGCCTGAGCAGGCAGAGGCGGAGCTCATGGAGAGGCAGGAAAGAGCTTGGCCCCTGGGAAGGCTTGGAAGAGAAGGCAGGTGTTAGATCGCACAGGACTTTGCAAGCTGTGGAATAGATTATGAATTTTATGTTATTTTATTTATTTATATTTTTGAGACAGTCTCACTGTGTCACCCAGGGGACGGCAGTGGCGTGATCTTGGCTCACCGCAACCTCCACCTCCACGGTTCAAGAGATTCTTGTGCCTCGGCCTCCCGAGTAGCTGGGATTACAGGCACACGCCACCATGCTCTGCTGATTTTTGTATTTTTAGTAGAAATGGGGTTTCACCATGTTGGCCAGGCTGGTCTCGAACTCCTGACCTCAAGTGATCTGCCCACTTTGGCTTCCCAAAGTGCTGGGATTCCCGGTGTAAGCCACTGTGCCCGACCCAGATTATGGATTTTGAGTAACTAAAATGACAGACAAGGCTGGTCATGGTGGCTCATGCCTGTCACCCCAGCGTGGTCACAACGCTGGTCACAGTTGATTCTGGGGGTCATACACAGATAGCATTAGCTCCCCACCAAGGGCGGTGGGGCCGGCGGTTCAGCGTCTGCACACCTTCCCGGCCGCCTGCCGCCTGTGTGTGGGCGAATGTTCTCCTCAAGGCCATCCTTACCGTTGGGCACTTCCCTTGGGCTTACACTGCCCTGCCTGAGGCAGCCTGGCAGGGGCCCCACCGGGCAGGAAGTAATGCCAGGAAAGTGAAACACTGTGGGCGATGTGGCTTATGGGTTCCTCACCTCCGGTTCCAGGAAAAACCCAAGGCAAACAGACCAGATGCTAGGAACAAGCCTCAAGCCACAGCACTTAGAACGCCGCAGGCTTTGCTGTTTCTTCAGGGAGTGGCTTCACCCGTCTTGGAATCTGTCTTCCGCCATCGTCACTCATGCTGCTGCCAGTCCTTCTCCCGAGCCAACAGCACACCTGTCACCTCGGCACACCTGTGGAATCACCAGAGGGACTGGGGAAAACCTGGGGAAAACCATGCGACTGCCACTCAGCCTTCACGTTCCTGGAGCCCTAAAAGACGCGAGGGCGCTTCGGGGCATCTCCCACCTGAGGCAGTTCAAGGAGAGAAAAGAACTACCTTGATGGGAGATCTCTGGCTGACGTGATGGCAGAGGCTTGACGGAGGCTTTGAGGACTCAGATGTGGGGAACGTCTCTACCTCAGTGCCAGCTCCAGTGCCCTCCTTGTCCCTGGATGGAGCCTCCTCCTCTGAGAGAATGTCATTAAAACTCTCCATTTCACTCGATGACACACGTGTGTCTTCTCACAGTGACCTTGTCACCTTAAGGGGTCAACAGCCTTCACACTCACCCTAACATCATCCCAGAAAAGAGACGCCAGGATCATTGGCAAAAATACCCCAGCGTCACCGCGTCCATCCCAAGAATGAGCCTGGCTCAGCCTCAGGCTCAGAGACCTCTGCATGTGGCAGTCCAAGCATCTGGGCCAGGTCAGTAACCGTTTCCCCATCCTTGCCTCAGCTCTCCACCCACTCGGTGGCAGTCCCAGACCTGAGCAGCTCGCAGCTTCCGAGCAGCAGCTCTTGCCCCGAGCCCCCGGCCCTGCCACTTCCAAGGCATGTAATATCACTCAGTCTCTTCAAATCTCGATTTCCTCACCTGTGAAATGCGGCCGCTGTTAACAAGATGAGCTGTAAAGCATGAACACGAGCACGAGCTGTGAACATCTGTATTATTCATGGAGTCATAATGTGCCCACGAGAAAAGGAAGAAGTCCTGCCTCCCTGGTCTGCTCATCACAAGTCAGCTGACCCCCAGTAACTCGAGACCCAGCACAGATGCAGAGGCCACGCTGCCTTAATCCACGAGGTCTGGTAGGAAGAAAGTGAATGTATTAACCAAAACTAGCAAAGGGGAAGCAGCCAGATTTCTACTTAAAGTAGCTGCTTTAATTTTCAGAGGGGAAAGCATGGGTTTCCAAGGGAAAGCCTTGATAAGGAAGGCGCGCAAGAATTGGGCTGAGTCCTGTGTCCATGTGTCTTGTTCTGGTGGCTCTTTTGGGTCCCAGTCCGTCTGGACCTCGAGCTGACATTATTTTAACAACGGCCGGATTTTAAGGAGTTGTCATGAAGTAATTTCTGGGATTTTGCAGCTGGGTTTCCAGATGTGGTTTGTCTCTTTCAAGATTTTAGCCCCTGAAACTTTTAGGAAGACCCACATAGTTCAATCCTCGCACATAGTTAGGTAAATGGAAGGGAGTGTATACAGATGGCGAGAAAAGGGAGGGAGTGTATACAGACGGCGAGAAAAGGGAGGGGGTGTACACAGGCGGCGAGAAAAGGGAGGGGGTGTATACTGACAGCGAGAAAAGGGAGGGGTGTATACCGACGGCGAGAAAAGGGAGGGGTGTATACAGACGGCGAGAAAAGGGAGGGGTGTATACCAACGGCGAGAAAAGGGAGGGGTGTATACCGACGGCGAGAAAAGGGAGGGGTGTATACCGACGGCGAGAAAAGGGAGGGGTGTATACCAACGGCGAGAAAAGGGAGGGGTGTATACCGACGGCGAGAAAAGGGAGGGGTGTATACCGACGGCGAGAAAAGGGAGGGGGTGTATACAGACGACGAGAAAAGGGAGGGGGTGTATACAGGCGGCGAGAAAAGGGAGGGGTGTATACAGACGGCGAGAAAAGGGAGGGGTGTATACAGACGGCGAGAAAAGGGAGGGGGTGTATACAGGCGGCGAGAAAAGGGAGGGGGTGTATACAGGCGGCGAGAAAAGGGAGGGGGTGTATACAGGCGGCGAGAAAAGGGAGGGGTGTATACAGACGGCGAGAAAAGGGAGGGGTGTATACAGGCGGCGAGAAAGGGAGGGGTGTATACAGGCGGCGAGAAAGGGAGGGGTGTATACAGGCGGCGAGAAAAGGGAGGGGTGTATACAGCGGCGAGAAAGGGAGGGGTGTATACAGACGGCGAGAAAAGGGAGGGGTGTATACAGACGGCGAGGGAGGAAAGGGGGAGGGGGGTGTATACAGGCGGCGAGAAAAGGGAGGGGGTGTATACAGGCGGCGAGAAAAGGGAGGGGCATGGAGTCTATTTCTAGGCTAAGGAAAACGGCCTTTGCAGTTCCCTCAAAGTTATATTTGGAAACCCAAGAGAAAGCGGAAAGAACTTTAAAATGCATCTTGAAGGTAAACTGCCGGCTGCAAAACTGAAGACAATGTCTCCGCAGAAATGAGAAATCCTTGGCGTGGCCATTTCTGTTACGGAAGCTGCCCCGCAGGTGCACACAGACGCGTTGGAAGTCCTCTTTCCTCAGTCACAGCCGGAGGAAGGTCATTCTGGCCCAACGGCCTCCCTCTGAGGATTCCGGTTTCTGGCATCCGTGTCACAACGGCAATGCCAGTCACCAGCCTCTGACCACAAGACCCCCAGGACCTACGCAGACACCAGGACCTACCCATGGCCCCAGGACCTACGCAGACACCGGGACCTACCCATGCCCCCAGGACCTATGCAGACACCCGGGACCTACCCATGGCCCCAGGACCTACGCAGACACCTTCCAGGGCAGGCAGGCAGGCCATTTTCCAAAGCAGTTCAAGCTAAGGAGACAACAGCTGAAACCCTCCCTCCTGGCCCTGAGAGCTGAGGATCAACCCACAGGGGTGTGATGGAGGCTGAGAGCAGGGCTGTGGAACCGGAGTCAGCAGGGGCAGTGAGGAGGCTGCTGCAATAGTCAGAGTGACAGGGAGGAGGTGGCAAAGCAAACAAGAGGACGTGATGGGCAAACACTTGGAGGAAGAGCAGCTAGTACTGACTAGGACATTGGGGACAAGGAAGAGGAAGAAATCAAGAGGACCCAGAGCTTTCTGGGCTGGATGTCTGGGGGACTGTTGTTAGAATGAACAGAAGGAAGGAAGAAAGCTTGGAAGGAAAGATTGACCTGGACCTGCTGCATTGCATGAGCTAGGCAGGAAATCCCTGGGAGGGTGAGGCCAGCATATGGGTGGGAAGTCAGGGAGAAGTACAGATTTGTAAGGCGTAAGAGTAGACGCAGGGTGGCCAGAGAGGGAGGGGCAGCAGGAGAGGGAAAGTGCTGGAGACATGTCATTTGGGCCTGGAGGGGAGGAGAGAGGCGGCAAGGGGAATGGAGGGCCCGGGAAAGTGGACGGTGGAGCAGGACCTGTCAGCTTCAATGAAGGTGAGGCTGGGTGGTGGCACGGGGCTGCCGGCCAGGGAGAGCACGTTGAGGTGGGTGCTCAATACACATCTGTCAAATTCATGAACAAATAAATGGATGGGGCCGAATTTACGAGACGCGCGGGGACTGTAGAAAATCGTTCTTGCGGTTGGGAAGGAGATTCTGGTAGCTCTGAGGAAAACGGCTTGAGCCAAGTGCCTGAGGTGGGGGCAGGGCGAGCAGCGCGTGGTAAAGAAGAGGCAGCGAGGGGACGCCCCTCCTTCACGGTGCTGGAGGGCAAAACAAAAGACAGGGATGAGGACGACACAAACGGATGAGAGACTTGTTTTAGGCCAAGAGACACCTAAACATGGTCACAGGCAAAAGAGAAGGAGAAAGGCAGAAAGAGCGTCAGAGGCAGAGGCAGAGCAGTGAGCCATCCAGGCAGGAGCCACAGGGCCCCGGGGAGGGTGCGGGGAAGGCTCTGGTGGGCATTGAAGGAGGAGGGAGCCACAGGGCCCCGGGGAGGGTGCGGGGAAGGCTCTGGTGGGCATTGAAGGAGGAGGGAGCCACAGGGCCCTGGGGAGGGTGCGGGGAAGTCTCTGGGCATTGAAGGAGATGAAGGGCATGGCTTTGGTCCTTTCAGTGAAGTAGAAAATGGAGTGTCATGGGGAGAGGAGAGACCTGTTTTTCTCCAATATCAACTCTTGACGCTCAAATCTCCCAGCTGTCTGCTCTGCAAGTGTATGCGTTTGGCCAGAGTGAGAACAGTAAGTTTCAGTTGTCTGACAGCCTGATGGAACCTGACGGGCCTGGCTTGCGTCCTGGTGAGAGTCAAGGTCAGTTCATTCTGGCCAACACTTGAGCAGCAAGAACAAGGCTATGAATATTTTTTAGAATAAAACTTGATTAAGTCTTCAAATTTCTCTGCCTTACAACTTCAGCAAGATGGTTTTAGCTTACAAACATTAAAAGTGGATGCTATCATTTTATTTTAAGGGCAGTATTTCTTAACATGTGGTCCACGGACCACCTATACCAGGATCACTCTGGGCATGTGTTAAAATGCTGAGGCACCCTGCTTTTGGAGAACCACTCTTTTTTTTTTTTTTTTTTTTCAGAGAAGGGGTCTTGCTTATTGCCCAGGCTGGTCTCAAACTCCTGGCCTGAAGCAATCCTCCCACCTCAGACTGTCCATGCTGGGATTTTAGGTGTGCGCTACCATGTCCAGCTGAGAACCGTTTTCTTACCAAAAGTAACTCTCCATAGTCTCTCCGTCCACTAGGATTTCTCTCTTTTCTTTTTTTTTTTTTTTAAAGATAGGTCATACTTGAACACAGAATTTCTTACCTACAAATAACCTACTCAGGTTTAGTAGATTGAGTTACCTGCAAACTGCTTTCCTAAATAGCTGAATAATCAATCTGTGGCAGGAGTGGCTTCAGATGTTTAAACGACGGTGAAAGACAAATGCGGTAACTGTGGTTTTTGTCGTAACGAATGCTCATCTCTTCCTCCTCACAAGCCCAACAGACTGAGAGATTTTGACAGCGCCTTCTCCCCTAGACAATAAAACTATGTCCTCCGCATGCAGTGACTCGCCTGTCCTCCTGTTTGCGGCAGCAGGAAACTCTAATCAACTCAGCTCAAGATGAGCAGGTTCTCTAAATAAAGATGTAAAACGAGGACTATCAGGACACAGCCTTGTTTAGCAAGATTTTCTTTCTTTCTTTTTTTTTTTTTTTTCCTGAGATGGAGTCCCGCTCTGTCGCCCAGGCTGGAGCGCAATGGCACGATCTCAGCTCACTGCAACCTCCGCTTCCTGGGTTCAAGCAATTCTCCTGCCTCAGCCTCCCGAGTAGCTGGGATTACAGGCACCCGCCACCACCCCCTGCTAATTTTTGTATTTTTAGTAGAGATGGGGTTTCATCATGTTGGCCAGGCTGGTCGTGAACTCCTGACCTCAAATGATCCACCTGCCTCGACCTCCCAAAGTGCTGGGATTACAGGTGTGAGCCACTGCACCTGGCCGATTTTCAATCGATGCTATGAAGCAAAGAGCAGCAGGTGAAGGATGGGGCCTGTCCTGGATCGTGCCCCTTTGTTCACAGGCCGGGATATGGGGAAACAGGCACACTCTTGCACACTGCCAACAGGTCTGTAAATTGGCACAAGCTTTCTGCAAAGAAATTTGGCAGTATTTCTGTATTAATAACATGAAAAATTTTATAGCAGCATTAACCAGTAATTCCAGTGATAGAAATTTAAGTTAAGGAGATGAGCTGAAATAATGTAAACGAAACATTATACACGAAGTTAGTCATCAGGGCTTTATTTAAAATAAGCAATACATTGGAAACATTCTAAATGTCCAACAGTAAGTTAACAATATGAGCTTTTTCTACGATGATTTATTATTTAATGTTTAGGCCGAGTGCGGTGGCTCACACCTGTACTCCCAGCACTTTGGGAGGCTGAGGTGAGCGGATAACCTGAGGTCAAGAATTTGAGACCAGCCTGGCCAACATGGTGAAACCCAGTCTCTACTAAAAATACAAAAATTTAGCGTGGCATGGTGGCACACACCTGTAATCTCAGCTACTTGGGAGGCTGAGGCAGGAGAATCACGGAGGTGGAGTTTGCAGTGAGCCGAAATCATGCCATTGCACTCCAGCCTGGGCAACAAGAGCGAAACTCCATCTGGAAAAAAAATGTTTAAAGGCTATGTCCACTATTCCATAAGGGCATGGACACACAGACACACAGACACACACACACAGTGTCTCTCACACACACACACACACAGTGTCACACACACACAGACACACACACACACAGTGTCACACACACACAGTGTCACACACACAGACACACACACACACAGTGTCTGTCTCACACACACACACAGTGTCACACACACACAGACACACACACACAGTGACACACACACAGTGTCACACACACACAGACACACACACAGTGTCACACACACACAGTGTCACACACACACACAGACACACAGTGTCACACACACACAGTGTCACACACACACACAGTGTCACACACACACAGACACACACACAGTGTCACACACACAGACACACACACAGTGTCACACACAGACACACACACAGTGTCTCTCACACACACACAGTGTCACACACACAGACACACACACACAGTGTCACACACACAGACACACACACAGTGTCTCACACACACACACAGTGTCACACACACAGACACACACACACACAGTGTCACACATACATAAGCAACACACAAACACACAGAACGGGCATAAAGTAAGATGTGTTAAGGAGACATTGCGAGCAGGAGGCGGTGGAGTCCACGTGGCCTCTGAGCTCTCATCGCACAGAGAGGTGGGTACGGTGGACACACAGCAGGATGTGGTCCAGGAGAGAGACCTGCGCCTGTTGAAGGGGAAATGGGAATGGTAACAGCGCTTCCAGTGGGGAAGTGGCTTTGTTAGGAAGGAAGCCACGAGAGCTCAGCGGGGGAGTTTTATACAGCACCCTAGATTTTGCTGCGGAGCGGAGCTCTCCCAGCCCCCTGAGCCAGCTCTTGTAGGACTCCAAAACGGGGAAGCAAGGAACTGCCATCCGAGACATAAAAGATGTGCCTCTTCTCGGGCTATGTTTACAAAGCTAGTATCTTGAAGAAATGCTCATATCAGGTATGGCTAAAAAGGCAGGACACAAAATTATGTATACTGAATAAGTTAAACTATATATATATACACACACACACACACGTTTTGTTTCTGTTTTTATTTTTCTTTTTTTGAGACGGAGTCTCACTCTGTCACCCAGCTGGAGTGTAGTGGCGCGATCTGGCTCACTGCAAGCTCCGCCTTCCGAGTTCACGCCGTTCTCCTGCCTCAGCCTCCCGAGTCGCTGAGGCGACCGGCTAAAACTATATATTTTTTAAAGCACAAAAAAATCCTAGAAGGAAGTGTTATCTAGTAGCAAGATTATGGGTTTTGATCTTTCAACTATCTAAATGTTCCCAAATGCACGTAACTAGTATGTGTGTTTTCTTTGGCGTATTTCAATGCAGTTGTACAATTTTGTCCACAAAGATTAAGCACGTTTTTTGTTAGATTTATTTTTATGTACTTTTTTTTGGTCACCATCATAAACACTATAGTCTTAAAAATATTTTCTCTTTCACTGATATATAGGAATGCAGTTTTTTTTTTGTTTGTTTTTTAATCTTGTTTTGAGGCAGAGTCTCCCTCTGTCATGCAGGCTGGAGTGCAGTGGGGCGATCGTAGCTCACTGCAGCCTTGAACTCTTGGGCTGAAGTGATCCTTCCCCATCAACCTCTGAGTCGCTGGAACTCTATGTGTGTGCTACCAGGCCCAACTATTTTTCGTTTTTATTTCTGTAGAGACAGGATCTTGCTATGTTGCCCAGGCTGGTCTCGAATGCCCGGCCTCAAGTGTTCCTCCTGCCTCAGCCTCTCAAAGCACTGGGATTACAGGCATGAACCACCACACCCAGCTGGAATGCAATTATTTTTAAAATTTTGATTATGGATGTAGAACTTTGCTAATAATTTATATATTTGGGAAGTTTCTATGTAAACAATTATGTTATCTGCAAATAACCATTGGCTTATTTCATCCCTTCCATACCCAAAATAACTTTTGTGTACTCTCATACCTTTTGTTTATTTTTCTCATCTTATTTCACCAGCTAAAACCTTCAACTGAATGTTGATTAGAAGCAGTGATTGTTGGCATCTTGGTTTCATTCCTGATTTTACGGAAACGTTTCCAGTGTTTTAAGTATAATGTTTACATAGGGTTATAATTGACATTGTTTATCAGGTTAAGAGAGTTAACGTCTCCTTTTAGTTTGCCTGGAGTTTTAACGGGAATAAGTGCTGACTTTTATCAAATAATTTTCCTGTATCTGCTGCGGTGATTGTGTTTCCCCTCCGTTCTGTTTATATGGTGATTTACATTAAGAAAGCATTGTCTTTATCTTGCATTT